TCCAACCTCCTGGCCATGATCAAATCAGCCTTTTTCAACAGCATTAGGCACCAGTTGGGTCAATGCACTGGCACAAAACGGAGCCTCACCACATTCAAACCAATCTACATCTAACCAGGCGTGATCCTTCTCGATATAGCGTAAATCTGACAAGCCACCTTTGTGCACTGGATAACTTTATAGTGCCTTGTAATTCCGTTAATTTTTGTTTGCCATATGAATCATCAGGAAATTAGTCGCGAGATTAGTTCACTTGTAAGAAACCATTTCCTCCATGTAATAAAACTGTGCTGAAGTGCATAGGAGACTGGACCAAGAAATCAGATTGTCAGACTGGCATTTGGAAGGCTGCCATTCCTACAAGTCTGCATTGTTCATTTGCCAGTCCTTCGAGTGTCCACTCATTTTAGGCCTCTCTGCTCTCTTCTCATTGCAGCCAAAACACCTTACCGTCCAGATGAAAAACGACCAGGACTGAGCTCGTAGCCACTTGCGAATTCAGCTCTAATTTGACCTAGTAACAGGGCTTTGTGTTAGAAGGCGATATTTGGTCTGTGGACGTAAACAGGCGTTTGTGGAACCAGCCAAGCCAGCCCTCCTTCAGCCTGACTTCCAACACTGTCATCCCTAGTCCGGAAACCTTCCCCCAGCCAGCCGTCATCACACTGATCTCATAGACAGCCCTCGCCCGCGAATTCCCCAAGCGACCGGAACGCCCGCATGTCCCGCGGCCGTGAGGCTTGACCATTTTAATTAGTTCCCTGTCCAGGGTTGTTTATTACCAGCTCAACGCTTGGCGCAACCGTGTACCCCCTCCACTGGCTCACAGCTCGCTGGCATCTTCGTGCGCTTGGCACCTACTGGTAGTAGATTATCATCTCGTCACCAGTTATCGTGGTAATTTTAGGACCTGCCGGTCACAGGCGTTGTTCGCACCGGCCACGAGTTTAATTCCCACAATACCGCTTAACGAAATTCGGAAGATTAAGTGGGGCGCAGGCGGTTTGACACACACATTCACGCCGAGCAGGTTGTGGAATGACTGTGTTAGACTGGTTATTCGGTTTCTTCATCGTCTTCTCTTGCCATCGGGTTCCAGTGGGTGTTAACGATGATGCACATCATGGTGTGTCCACAAGAAATTACAGCGACTTTTGCTAAAAGCGGAGCGAATTAGTGGTGATTGTGCTGTGTGCTATAAGAAACCCACTTCCCTGTGTCTACATAGATCAACCCCGAATTCTCCAAGAGGTGGATAATAAAGGCAGGAACACTCGTCTAAGTCTTACGACCAATGGCGTTACGCCACGCACACACACACACACACACAAAGTGGTACTTTAAGTGCTTGACTTGAGTCACACCATAAGTAATTTGCAGGTGTACTTAATGCTATCGAGTTAAGGCAGAAGACAGCACGGTTATAAATATATTTATTCCCTACATAGAACACGGCGAATTGTATTTTCATTAGATAACAATCTTTCCGGTCCATCTGAAATTTGCATTTATTCCTTCGTTAGTAAATCCTTCGTCATGTTGTTAGATAGTGATTGGAAAAGATAAGAATACAAGTGGGAATTAGCTGTGTGAAAGCGGATATTACCGTGCTGTGATAAAGCATAATTACGTCATTGAGGTAGGTTGTCCTGCGTCGTCTTGATAAGTCGATACATTTATTAAACATATCAGTCTGTACAGACTGTTTCATTGTTGTCAAGACACTCGCAATGCTTTACGACTTCACAATCCGGCCAGTCGTAAACTGCGATGACCGATTTCTCAACCAGACAGAGCCATTTAAGTGGTTGGTGGATGGTTATGGACACTTGGTGCCGACGTTGTGGAGTAGATCGGAATGGTTTGTTTTACAGAAGAATTCGATATAATTCGGGTCACAGATCCTGGACACGCATTGGCCCTCTCCTGGACTCTCCACCTCCTCCTTCCTCCACTTCTCTACTTATTTATTCCTTAGCCATATATGGGAACCCGTTATCTCATAAACGGCAGCACACACCTTCATCACTGCTCTACCCATTGCCTCACCTCCGATGTGAATCGGAAGACGGGTCCACCACGGAAGCTAGCATGTGTCCGTGATTTCCACACAACGCCTCCTCTGAGCGGTTTTTCACAAGTCCAACCTCTCTGTTTTGTACCACGAACGACCCAAATTCGCGTACACTAGCAAACTATTGCACTGAATAACCTTGCCAACTGCGTATCTTCCGTGCGTGTGTGTGTGTGTGTGAGTGTCATGCTCCGCTTGCTTATCGCATTTGCTTTAAACTAATTGCCTTAGTGAAGCGTAAAAGACACGCACTGCTGCCGCCATGCACCGCTGTGTGTGACAGCGGCAAACGTCTGCGAGGCTTGAAGGCAGTGGTGCCAGAGCGGTGTCAATTTCATGCGACACCCGACTACCGGCGGAGCGCGGTTGGTAATGCGAAGGCCTGAGGCGGAGTCGTGTTGTGAGTGCAAAAATTTACGTATCCAAAGATGCACGAGTAAATTAAACTGAAGTGAGAGCGAGACACACAGCTAAAGGCAAGATATTAAATACTGACAGTGAATAGCATTGACACGCAAGTGGCCACGCCAACGACAAGAGAGTACATCTCTTGCAGGGGCGATAGAGGTAGCCCATAAAACCCCGAATAGCCAATACGATTTCAGTTGGAAGGGCCTCCTTCTGCGGAACGAACTGCGTGAAAATGCTAACTCGTGATGCCATAGCAAACGTGCTTCAGCAATTTCACCCTGCTCACGAGACACCCCACTGAAAACTAGGATCTAACTTCGTCACAATCTGGCATAGGATGTCCGCAAATGTAGAGGATGTTTACTCTTTTTACTGCTATAAATTCAGGTGCAATTCATCTGAACGCCCTTCACAATTCTCACCAAGAAAATTGCCTGGGTTTAAAACTACCAGTAATAACAATGCTCGACTTGCTGAATACTGTTTAGTTCATAAAAGACACTCCTCACGTCTAACTTACAGATTGATGTGGTGCTTCCGATCATTTAAAACGACGTTCATAGCATAAACGGAAAATGCCTGTGAGGCGTTCAGCAGATTAGACGTTTCTGCCTGAATTGACCTGCCAGACTGTCGCCAGACTAATTAACTTCTGACGAGGTGGAGAGAACCGTCTCTGGTTTAACAGGGACACCAAACCGGCACAATTGCTCCTCTGGTACCTTCAAGCTCTGTGCCCTACATCAGCTGTAAGGCTCCGAGTGTGAATGATCGGACGTCTTGGCTACCGCGCTAACTACTTCTCGGAACACTGCGTTAACAAGACCTCTTACAGAGGGCTTTTGCTGCTTCCGATCACAAAATTTCAATGTCGCTGCGCCTGGGCAATCGTAATTTAATGAGTTAAGGGTGATCAAGAGTGAGTGACGATTAGTTAGTGTGAACATCGGGATTACCATTAAACAGTGATCGTGTGAATAGATGTCATAAAACTCAGTGCTAATTCATTGCGTTGTCTGGGTGAATGTGGACAACCCCAACAATGCTGAACTGAGCTTAGACTCTGATGCTATGGTTTGAGAAGTTCCGTCCGGGAATTCGACTCCACACCTTCGTTTTATGCTGCATATGTACCAGAGAGACAGCATAAATATTGTAAAGGTACCTCAACTTGATGCGAAGTTAAAAGGCCTCTTTTTCATTCGAAAGCTCATGACAACTGACCCCTAAAAACGGCCATTTCAGACGAAACGCCGTGAGTGGTTGCACTGTCACCGAACAGTTTGTTTCAGAGAGGTTCGGCTGAACTGTGCACACGTTGGCCACTTGAGTGATTATTTACTACTTACATCGGTGAGCCCAGAATCAACGGCCCCAACCTCGGCATGGGAACTCGGTCAGCGGACGTGCCAAGGCTGGGGGGGGGCGGGCGAGATACGAGGCTTTGCAGGGGGGTCGGTGTGTTCCCACCCGGCGTGCACACAAATGCACACTTGGCCTCAACGTAGGGGACATCAGCGTGCAAATGCAGCTCACTGGAGGGGTTCATTAATCTTGCACGAACGCCCCTGGGGACACCTCCAACCGCTTGCCGTAATAGCCCTAGGTGGGAAGGCGTACGCGCGATAGTAATTAGCCAAAGCCCACGATGGCTGCTGAGGCGGCAGGTCGGCGTTAGCCCGACGCCTCGCGTGCGCTCGCAAGGCGGTGGGTGGCAGGTGTGGGCACGGCCGCCCCTCCTCACCCCCCTCCCAACATCTGGGTGCGCCGTGTCTTGGAGACGAGGTGAAGAAGGGGCTGGAGGGAGGCGGTGTGTCGACTTCCTTGAGAGGAAGCCGTCTCTCCCCGCCCCCACACTCAAATTCCCTCGACGTGAATTGCATTTTTGACGGTAATATTAGCGCTGCGGAAACACCAACACCATGTAATGGAGATTTTCTGCAGACTCGTTTCCCGCAAATATTCTGCGCGCCAATTTGATTCCAGGAGAACGTTGTTGTTACCGAAAGGGTTGATGAGCCAGCCTCATTTATGTGAACTGTCTTGAGTCCCTGAAGACAGTTCTCATCAATGTTGAGACCCGCGAAACGTTATTTTACGGATTGCACGTAGCAAAGTGAGTTTTCATGAATCTCCCTGTCGTCAGCTCATCTTAACCGAATTCTCAAGAAGGCAATCTTTCAGAAAAAAAGAGGCACAAACACACACTGATGGGCGTTTTTAAGGTGCAAAAATTTGAGCCTTTTCCCTGGTAGGCATTTCCGCACATTTTTGACATGGCCTAAGTCATTTCAAAAAGCAAAACCACTGACAGGAACCAAAGCACGCATTTGAAAGTTCGTTCTGTCAAAGTCTGGGTGTGTCGGCGGTGTGATTGTCAATTGTCCTAAAAGTACACAAGGATACCCACCGAATACCCTTATTTATAGCGCGTTTACTTGAAATTCGACGCATTTGCAGGTGCCGTATCCATTGTAGTAGCCGCCTTGTCTTCGTTGCTGCGGGAAGCTGAACTTCAGCTCAGCTGGTCACCAACATTTGAGTGAATGCAGTAATCGGCTGCAGACACCACCACCACACTTGACCCAATGTGGACAACCCGAAGGGAAGGCTCCAGTTTGAAGCAAACGGGGGTTGTTTTGACAATATGGCTGGTCCAAGTGGCATATGTCACCGATTCAAGACCTGCGCACGCCGGAACGAAGGCGAGGCTGCTTATTGCTGTCCCTTGACTTCCGGCTGATGCCACATAGTGATGAATGCAGTGTTTGTCTGGACGATTATTGGGAGGGCAGCGCAGTGGTCTCGCGATCACCAATCTAGTAAACTCATGATGATGCCGATGCTGAAACGAAGAGGTCGAAGTATATTGCGTTACCTCGCAGTAAATGTTCAAAGGGGCACTGGAGTGATACGGACCGTGGACGCCGCGGGCTGGAAACACGAGCCGCCCTTCCATAAATTTGCTCAAATGGGTCTCAGCGCCTCTAAATTGCGCCCTTCCGTTGCTGTAGTGGGTGTGCATGTATGGGGGGAGCGGTGTTGCTAGACGGTCGCAAGGAAACAGCGATAACTAACGTGTGAATACGACAACTGCATCACTGTCGTCACCGCCAACGTTGCGGTGACACGGTCCCGTTGTACTGGGATTTTCGGACGGCATTTGGAGCTCAAAGCACAACTGGTTTTCGATTCGGCTGCACCATGAGGCTATTGTTAGCCGCCTGAAGAGGACTACTTCGTGGGTTAGAACTTGACCAGTGCAACAAGGACGATTTCTACACCTCAAATCCACAGAGGTCACACAGAAGGTCAAGTGGGTGTGTCGGAGTTTACGCTTGCTTCAACTCGCTTCATACTTCATTCCTTGTGGCTAAAATGGTGTTTAGTCACCGGCGCGCCTAATGAAAGAACTGAAGATTCTAATTCGGTTGGAAGGGAAAGGCAGAATGCACGAGGGAAGGCGTGAGGACCAAAGAGTGCCACCTTTTACTGTAATCATTCACCCTTTTATGCATCTCAATCAATAATCCGCTCACCTACTGACTGTTTCACCGTTTCCCATGATACAATTGATAATTAGTGAGTCCTGTTCGCATGACTTTAGGAAAACACATCGTATCCCCTTTCCACGACCTCAATACTACTTTTGTTTTTATGCAAAGCGTCCCTCTTCAGGCGACCGGAATTATCCCAAGACCTGAGGCTAAAGCAATTTCAACGCTTAACTTGTTGGCAAAGCGAGTTTCATACAGGGCGCATCTTAAAGTCGCCAGCACACACACGCACACACAATCTGAAATTGCGCGAACGTGCACCAGAATCCTGGTCCGGGTTTTTGTGTGCCTCCCCTCCTATCCTCCTCCTCTTCCCCTCCCCCCTGTGTCACCCCCTCTTCCCGCATCGCCAGTTCTAGATGTGCATGCATGCGCGCGCGCACGCCTTTATTACCTTTCCCCCCTCTTGCGAGCGCGAAATAAAAAAACGCTCACGCGTTACCATGGCTACCACGCGGACGGGATCGATACTCACGCTCCTCGCCTATGCACGCGCGCTAAGGCCGTATGCGCTGTTCGCGAATTGGGCATTTTGTGTTGGCTTTAGTTGCATACTTGATGTATCCGTATCGTTTCAACTACGGAGCCGTAAGAAATAATTGGGCGACCGTGTGCGGTCACCAGTCGGGCAAGTTACAGACGAGGCTTAAATTAATTCTTTGAAATATCCCGAGTAGGGTGAATTTTCACCTTTGTAAGGACTTGGCCTTCAATGGTCACCTTTAGCTTCAAATAATGATGATGTTGCTGCCGTTGCTACTGATGATGATAGTTGTGATAATAATGGTAATTAGAAACAAATTTAACGTGAACAGCCACACGGGTTGTAAGTTCATCCCAGTGATGAATGAATAGGTCGTCGCATTAGAAAGGCGATCTAGATTTTGTCGCCAATTTATGATTCCACCAACGTCCCCATTCGGTGAAGGCAATCTCCTGCGGCCAGACCGGTGCTAAAGCTAGCGTGAAACAGATGTGGTTCCGATACCAAAAAGGAGCCCGCTTTTACCAGCATTTTCTAGTTGTTAATTTATGTGGTACGGAAACAAGGTTCTTTGCTTTACCTGGCACAGTATTCTCTGCTGTACGCGTTGCTTCTGATAAGATTTACCAAGCGCGCCATGATACAGCCATCCTCCTGATCTAATCCCCAGCCACAGATGGGAAATATCATATTTCAAGCGCAGTCAGAACATTATTACTCGCCTCCACCGTCGCAGAGTCACGAACACCGTGAGCCAGGTGAAAATGCCAGTTAATTCTCCGAGAATTTTGGCTCTGATCACCCAACCGTAGAGTCAGACGGGTCTGGATATCGCTGATTGACACCCACTCACGAAACCAGGGTTACAAGCTCGGAAATGGAGCAGATTAAACAACATCCCCCTTCCTCCGGTTCCACTATACCAGTCTTGTTATGTGGGCATTTCGTGAGTCAAAAATGGAAACTGTTTCTGTCTATGAAGTCTCACCCTAAAATAGTGGGTGGGTAGCAGCCGCAATGCAAACTTCGTGAACTCAGATGATGCATTAGTGTTGAGTAAATTATCGGAGTGTGTGATTGTGGTTCCACACATAGGGAGGCGGCTAACCAATCACTGCACATCGGATTCCGAGCAGCTGGCTTGCGACGCCAGAAGTGTACAACAGAAATGGCTATTTTTTAGCCAAATGCACTCTAGACATGCAAGATGGTGACCTCGACATCGCCTGTGCCAGTTGTTTTGATGTATTGCCCCAAAGAGCGCGGGGAAGTTGAACGATGTAAACAATCATGACCCCATGGAACAGTGACTGGACTGACTGTCTCGTCAAACGTTCTTAGCGTAGTTCAAGGTGTCCATGCAGGCGACTGTGACCTTGTCATGAATCCGGGTCTGAGAATGACCTTTCAGGTGATTCACAAACAGCCAGCAATCAATCAGTGGCATCACCCAGTACACACATGAGACAGCATAGAAAGCAGCAACAATCGGAACGCCATATTTGCCTGCATCAGGGCAACGCAACCTTGAATGCGAACACAACATGGAAAACGTGCACTGTTGTCACCAACTTCGACTGCTGAGCTAAATTTCATCTCCTGATGAAGACAATGATTCGTGTCTGGCATCACTCGCATGACCACGAAGAAGTCACCGACTGTTATGAAAAGGCGCCACGCAACCTTCATGCTGGCATGGCCGGTAAATCAGTTTGTGTGTGAGCAGTCCACCTGTTCCGCAATTTTTTTGTGTTTACTCCTCTACAGACTTGTGTCCAAACTTCATGCCTGCAAACAGTTCGAAATTAAATCACAATTCGACATGGAGCGTGCAGTGACCAATGCAAGTGTGGTCAGGAGGATGCGTGTATAAACAAGAGAGCCCTGGAATTACCTGATGCCTCTCCAATCCACTGAACGCACATTGACACCCTTCATGAATGCATAATTGTTATGAGGTACATATGCTAATTAAGACTTTCCTCTAACACTGGTGTGGTGAGAGTTCGGGTGATGGGGCTGGTGGTTACCGATGTCAGATTTACCGGCACCGCCTGGACTCACATCTACTTACCCGTTCCTGTTCTGATGCTGTGTGTTTGCTTTGAACTGCGATTACGTTTGCTAGTATTACCTGTGACATCGGCCTCACTGAATAAGGCCGCGCCGCTATTCTATTTCGAGTATGTCCACAAGTGAATAAGGGCAAGGCGTTGACAAACAGTTGTCCTGGAACATGAGCTATTTGAGGGGACTTGGATCAGCACACGTCGAGGGGGAAGGGGAGTTTGGTACTTTAGTTGATGGAAATTTCCCGAAGCCAAACATGTGCAAACATCGCTTAGCAACGCGGTGTCCGGGATGAGTGCCTCCTTTCTGAAAGTTGGGCATCTGAAGCTGTCCTTGACAGTCCCACCTGAGGTTTGAGCTTTCTCAAATTGTCAGCTAAGGGTGCATCAGTGCCCATATTCGAGGCAATGCATTAGAAGTGCGCAAAATAAATGTCAGTTCATGCTAAGGTTTAATAAACAATGCCACTTGGTTCGATGACGTAGTTTGCTGTTGCATAATCAGTGTGATAATTTAATTTATTGACATTCAGTGTGTTTACCGTGAAAATTTACAGAAGGTGAATATGCTGTTACACAACATCGATAGCCCTTCTGTAGATTTATGTGCATGGGAGACGCTTCATTCATTGCGGCAGCTTTCTTCGGTAATTTAAGCAATCCTTGAAGTGGATCAAAATGTTGGCAGAAGCCCGTGGCATTCAACAACGATCCTAAATTGGCTGATTTTGAGGCTGCATTCTACCCATATTCACTCGACCAATCATGGGTCAGCGACATGACCACCACAATAATCACCCTCATCGACAACTGCTCTTCATCAAAGACAGTAGTCTGTTTCTGGTTATGTGGTGGCATTTCACAGGAATCGTCCATCATGGCTAGTTGAACTCCATTGATGCCACATCTACCTACTTGCCTTCGAGTGCTGTGCAATCAGCTTCAACAACTTCCACGACTGCTCATCTAAAATGTCGTCAGTCGGTTAAACAGGATGTCGTGGCTACGGAATCATTGAAGGAGGGTGAGGACTCGGGCTGGCTGGTCCCACTTCACCCACTGTATTCTCCAAGCGTTGCTCCGTCTACATGCCACCTTTCAGACCAATGGACCACTTGCTTGGTGGAAGCAACTGTCCAAATGGGGCGGTCATCAGAACGTGGGGTGTGAAATAGTTACCTAGAGGTTCCTCTCAAATGAGTGGAACTGAGTTGGAAGTGTGTCAGGGAGATGGAGGAAAATGCTTAATACCAAAGGAGAGCATTTTGCCGAAAAAATCAGCATTGGATGTTAAAAAGATTCAAAAATTTGGCATATGTGCCAAATGAGCGTGCTCATGGTGCACCGATGTGGGCGTGGTTTAAAATGCGTGATATCATCGTTCCCGCAATCAGTGACGCAACTGTTAGCTTTGTGTGATAGTCAATCATGGCTACCTAGGTTATGAATGAAGGGTTGAGAATGCGCTATAGTGCATGCATCAAGTAAAGGTCTTGATAGACAAAGGAGTATTACCGAAAGAGGCGCAAAAAATCGACCACCCGAGGAGAAGTTAAGCAAACTGAGGTCTTCAAAGCTTTCCTTATCAGATAATGCACTCTCTGGGACTTTCAATACACCCATGACGTGACTTGTAATGCATCGGGCCTAATTTTGTGCCTTTGTAGAACGGGGCAAGTCCTAAGTAGCAACAGGTGATTATTTTCCTAGACGGAATTTGTTGATATTTGAAGCATCTTATGCACATAGGGAGCCGTCCACATCACGGCACCAAATAGTAGCCTGTTCATCCAGTTGCTGTGATCAGCAGCAGTTTATTATGCCTGGACCAACTTTGTTAGCTGAAACGAGCCCTCTTTTCGGCATGGACTTTATTATTAGCCTCGCGATTGGTTGCAATATCATGAATTTCAGTTGTTAAGGCTTCGATGAAAATTGGCTATTGAAGTCCCACAAACTGGCTAACAATCCGCAGCCGGTCGTTCGCACATTTTGATACAGGTCTGTGAACTGACTGTCAATGGCGAGGCAAAATTGCCCACAAAAGCTTAAC